CTTTCATAGATATGGTGATGGGGACAAAGAATTAATCTTGGCTCCACTTCTTACATCACATTAATATCTATTTGTTGAGTGCCTATTGGTCAAGATCTTGCACGCGTCTGTCCATTTCAACTTGGGACATGACTCTTGCTGTGGGTTGAGTGACAAATCACCCCATGTAGAGAGCAAGATGGGGCAATTCCTTTGGGATGTGAGGAGTCCTGGGGGGCAGGCAGCTATTGCCTAAGCCAAACTGAGCTGAGGACCGTGAAACAAGAGATCTAGCCCCTGTGATTCATTTCTGCCACCGTGTTTCCTGTTGTCAATGCTAAGTGTGTGTTTGTTTGCAATTATGAACCGAAGCACAAAAAAGACGCATGAGACATTGTAGTCATATGTCTGGTGTCACACTTTGGAGCAAAAACCTTTCAGTGGTAAATAAATAATTTCCAACTGGGTTACCTACCTGGTGTTTCCTTCTTTTCACTTAACATTTTAAACATATACAATGCAGAAGTGATCATTTGATAAACACTCATGAACCACTGCCAGGCTTTATAAAACTTGACAGATACAGTTGAAGTTCCTTCAGCGCTTTACCGAGGAGACCACCATCCTGAATTTATTTCTCACGACAAGCATTTCTTTATCCCTTTATTGCATGCACATGTAAGCCCTGGGTGCCATAGAGTATTGTTATGTGTTTTAAAACTTAATTTAAATTTCATCACACTGTTTTCACTTCACACTAAAATTTTGAGCTTTATCCATGCAGACATATGTAGGTCCAGTTCAGTTCATTTTTTGTTGCTGTATAATATTCCATTGTATGGATATACCACCATCCCAGTCTGTTTTGATATACACTTAGAGGTTTCCTTTTCTTTTTTTTCCTTCCTTTCTTCCTTCCTTTCTCTCCTTACCCCCTCTCTCTCTTTCTCTCCCCTCCCCCTCTCACCTTTACTTTGCTGTTACAGAACTGCTATGGATGAGGCTCTGAGTCAGTCTCTTCTCATTTTCTTTATTGCTTATGGAGCTCGTAGTCATTTTCCACCCAAGAATTTCTATTTTTTGAGAACCAATCAGAAGCACCACCAACCACTGCAGGAGCTCAGATCCCTAGCATCTGTCTGTCTCCCTCCCGGGGCAGATGCCTGTGCAGGCTTCTCTCACATATCTACCTGGAGTGAGTAGAATGGCTGGATCACAGATTGCTCTGTGCATGTGCATGCCTGAGTGCACCTTGGTGGTCTTGCTTGAGCACCCAGTCAAAGGGATTACATGCAAGTAGGGATGCAAGTGCTCTGGGGGCTCTGACTTCCTTGTTGAGAAGAAAAGTCAGTTGGAAACTAGAGACTCCTCTTTCTCTAATGTCCCAGAGCAAAAGCTCTGGAAGAGCCAGTGCGGCAACCGGTGGCACCTCTGTACTCTGGACGGTGGGCAGGGACAAGGGGGCTCCTTGAGCCCCGCCCCCTAGGCCCTCGTGGTGGCTGCTGCAGCCGGTGTACAGAGGAAGCCAGGGACAGGGCCTGGGTTTTAAAATCAGTAGGAAATTAGCCAGGTCTCATGTAATTAAAACTAAAGGTTCTTAAAAAGGATCCTTAAAGGAAGCCGTGAGATGTTTTCGCTTACCAAGTCTGTGCATAGAACTCCTTATTTTATATTACATACATATTGCATTTTAATGACAACCAGGATTTTTATTTTCATAATAAAATCAGAGGAGTGGGCTTTATCCTGCATAGCCAAGTATTATATAAACTATGCTTTATAGGTAACTATGCATATGGCCCATCAGAGCCCAAAACTAATATTTGAGAGTCTGGACTTATAGAAAGGAGAAATGGGAGAGAGGAGTATATTCATTAATCACTTTATACAAGGCTTTCCTCCTGAATTGCCTTAAGTACGCTCTGTTCCTGTGCATAAACCGAGTCAAGAGCAATGCATTTAGGAGCTGAGCACCTGCAGCCCGGGCTGGCTTTGTCACAGGCCACCTTCATGGCCCTGGGCAAGCCACTTGCCTCTGGACGTCGCTTTCCACATCAGTGCAATGAATTTGGATCAAGTGATCACTCAGGTCCCTTCTAGATTTAAGTTTTAACATTTTGCGATTCTGTAGTCTAGACTTTTCACACATATTTTGGCCTCCAATCTTGGGCATAAAACAACTTAAACCCACAAACGTGTGCACCTGCCCCATGTTGGCAATCCTCCCTGGCATCTTCTGAAGTCCTTCTGGCAGCCACCCACTCCTCCACACAATATGCAATGTCACCGGGGGCTCTGAGTCAGTCTCTTCTCATTTCCTTAATTGCTAATGGAGCTGGTGGTAATTTTCCACCCAAGAGTTTCTATCTTTCTAGAGCCAGTTGGAAGCACCACCACTGCAGGAGCTCAGGTCCCTAGCATCTGTCTGTCTCCCTCCCCGGGCAGATGCCAGGCAAGGAGAGAGCCACAGGATGGAGCTGTGGATGGATTTAGGGGGGATGGGCATTTTCAACTGCCCCTGTGCTCCTTGCTTCATCTCCTGCAGGTGAGCCAGCACAGATGGTCCGTGATGGGACCATGGGCAGCTTCCCCAAGCCAGAGATGGAGGCAGGTGCCTACCTGGGAGGAGGTGGGAGAAAGCCAGTCTCGCAGGCTGGAAGCCAGACATTGCCATGGAAACAGGCCCTGTGGTGGCTGCCATGTGATCAGGGCCCTGTGGTGGCTGGTCCTCAGCCAGGTGTGATCTCCTGTCAGCGCAGCCCAGGCTGGAGCATGGCTTCCCTTCCCGGTGTCCCAGGGCATCCCATTGACAAGTGGGTGATGGCAGAAATCTTATTTCAGAAACTCAGGGACACCAACCAGGGACAAACAAGGAGAAACCTGTCTTCCCAGCCAAAACCAACCAACAAAACCTCTGCGCAGTCTCTTTTCCCCCCAGAGCCAGGTGAGGTGAGCTGTTAAAGCAGAAAAAGTACCTGAGGATCTCTCTCTGGGTTGAAAAGGAACAGGTGTTCTCCATTCAGTGGGGGTGTTCATGCTGGCTGCCAGAATAGGTATTAGAGCAGTGGTTCTCAACCTTCTGGCCCTTTAAATACAGTTCCTATGTTGTGACCCAACCATAAAATTATTTTCGTTTCTACTTCATAACTGTAATGTTGCTACTGTTATGAAGCATAATGTAAATATCTGATATGCAGGATGGTCTTAGGCGACCAACCCTGTGAAAGGGTCGTCTGACTGCCAAAGGAGTCGCGACCCACAAGTTGAGAACCGCTGTATTAGAGGCTCTGTAATAAAAGTCATGGGCAGCCCCTCACGGAGGGTAGCAGGAATTCTATGGGAAAGAAGGAAACCCATCACTTCTTAGCACCTACTCCATCTTGATCTAAAAGGTAACAACGGTGATAATGAGAAACAGCGTGTATTACCCACTGCTCTGTGCTCAGTACTAAAGACACAGACTCAGATAAGTGACTTGTCCAACATCTCACTGCCTGTAAGAGGCCTAGAGGGGGGATTTGAATTGGGCATACCTACCTCTAAGCCTAAAGTCCAGGCTCTGGCATATGGCCAGTGGCCAAGTGTCTTTCTTGGGAAGGTAACAGATGCGAAGGCAATAGCTTCAAAATGCTATCCAGAACCACTGACTCTGAGAATCACTCAGCTGAAAGGAGCTGGAAAAGTTTTCTTCCCAGGGGGAATTAGGGGGACCTGCCTGGCTTGGGGGCAGGCATTAACCAAGGGACCAGAGCTAGGTGGAGGGGAGGAGAACTCGGCAACCTCCAGCTTTGTCTAGAGAAGGGGCAGGGTTAAGGCCAGATGTAGTCAGGGATCAGGTGCAGGGTCATTCTGATCAAAGGAACAAACCGAGACAGCAACAGGTGAAGTAGAGGAATCCAGGACTTCCACTGTGACCACACAGCGAGGGACACATGCTGGGAGGGAGATGGCAGGCTCTAAGAGGGAGAGGTTAAGGAAAGGAACAAGGGGAGGCCAGTGAAGGGATGCCAGACAGGGCGGGGGTAGGGGTAGAGATTGGCATCTGGGAGGAAAAAATAAAAACACTTACCTGTATCTTCATGAAATTTATGTCCATCTTCTTTCTAAAACAATTTGGGTAAAACATCACTGGGAACTACAGGGAAAAGATCCCTCCCCAGGGACCTGGCCTGCATGTGGAGAATCATGGGAGGCAGTGGAGGGAGCATTAGAACAACCTTTCATCTGCGATAAATCTGTGTGTTTTCTCAAAGAAATTCTTGCAGGACAAATGCATTAGGGGTAGGTAGATTTATTCATTATTATTTTTTAAAACATATTTTTATTAATTTTTTTGCAGAGAGGAAGGGAGAGGGATAGAAGAGTCAGAAACATCGATGAGAGAGAAACATCAATCCGCTGCCTCCTGCACACTTCCTACTGGGGATGTGCCCGCAACCAAGGTACATGCCCTTGACCGGAATCGAACCTGGGACCCTTCAGTCTGCAGGCTGATGCTCTATCCACTGAGCCAAACCTGTTAGGGCTCAATATTATTTTCTAAACGTATTTTTATTGATTTTTTTTTTTTTTTTTTTTTTTTTTTTAGAGAGAGAGAGAGGAAGGGAAAGGGAGAGAGAGATAGAAACATCGACAAAAGAGAACATCGATTGGCTGCCTCCTTCACGCCCCTCCCGGGTGAGAGCCCAGAACCCAGGCATGTGACCTGATCGGGAATAGACCTCGAGGTGCATAGCTCGACGCTCGACCATGAGCCACACCGGCTGGGCAGTAGATTTATTTCTCATGGTTTCAATTACACCTCTGTTTGGCCTGACTAGTAGATGAGGCACGTAGGGGACCCGCTGGAAGTAGACTTGAATGACAGAAAAGTGAGGCAGCAGGAAGGGGCTCAGGGCCTCTTCTAGTTCCTTCTAAGCTGGCAGCAGGCAGGCTGCTAATCTGACAGCGGAGGCATTGAGAGGGGACCCATTCTGAATCGGTCTGAGCACAGGTCAGGGCTAGAGGCAAGGAGGCAGGGATTCGACCTTGGTGAGTAAATTTAAATGCTTTTATTAACAATCTCCTTACATTACAAGGATAATATGACAAAAGGAAGGTTCTGCGTACATATTATGATAAACCAACATAGCTCTATTTGTATCCAGTGTTCTAGGTCCCGTCACACAGGTACTATAAAGCGTAGTCTGCAAAATAATAACATCGAGATTTTTTTCTTTTTTAAGAAAGAAAGTATTAACATATTCATATGTATGTGATAATAGACTCCCAGGCATCCCCCCTCCCCCACTACATTTTTCCTTTAGGATTGAAATGACATGGTTCAGCAGCGTGGGGGTGGAGAGAAGGAGAGAGACAGGGGCTGAAAAAGACTGAATCAGACTGCTGGCTCTTCCGGAGAGGTGAGTGAAGACCGAGGGTGCCAAGGGCAGCCTGGCCCTTGTCTTTTTGTGAGCAGTACTGTAACCGGCTGTCCCTGGACGGAGGGCCCGGTGCCTTGATGCCCCGTGGCTGCTCTCTCTCTGAGGTACAGTGCATTGTGGGATTGCTACCCGGGGTGCCCATCCCCTGGCCATGGGTCTGATCCACCGCGGTGGGAGGAAGGCTTGGACCAGGCCTGGCCTTTCTTGAGCCAGGCCCTGGAGGGTGTTCCAAGACCCGGTTGGCAGCTAGCTGTGGCTCAAGGAGACCCAGGCGGACTTGGAGGGAGAGGAGGTGGGCATTGGCAGAACAGACCCGCCCCCGACTGTCGGCATAGGGGTGGGTCTGCTGGAAACTGAGGTCTGTTGGTAGGATGGTGGGGAAGAGTAAGACGGGGCTCAGAGATGGGAGAGCCAAGAGGCAGAGGCTGGTCTGGAGCACAGAGGACGCAGCTGTCTTGTGTCTCCCTTCAACTGCAACCCCATCAGCCCCTCCTCCCCGCCTTCAGGGGAAAGAAACTACGGAGAGAGAAACCTGGAAGCAAAACGGGCTTCTGATTCCAACGGGGCTGCACCAGCCCTCCCTCATGGGGCGTCTGGCTCAGCCTCTGCCTCAAGTCAGAGTCAGAACAGTGTATGTGAACTAAACCTGCCTGTTACGGTGGCGGTAAGGTGAGGGGTCGATGGGCCTCCGTGCAGGAGAGGGAAGAGAGTTGGTTGTCCTGAGTACAGCCAGCAGCAGCAGCTGTGCAAAGTGGGCTGGGCCAAAGCCCTGCTTCGGAACTGGAATTGCTACTGAATTCATGAGTGTGCGGATATGTCCCCGCCCCCCGCACCCCCCCGAGTTAGCTGATGACCCCTGCCCTGGCCAGGAAGCTTCTTGATGGTGAGCAGCACTGTCTGGTGATGCTCATGCTGCCCACTTCACTTCTCCAGTCCCTGGCGGACAGTGATGGAGTGGGTGAGGGAGGTACTCCAGAGGTTTGGCCTCTAGGGGGCAGTAGAAACATGGGAGGAGGGAGGGGCAGCATCTTTCTTGGACCACTCTTGGTCCAATTTGCACCTTTCCTATGGCCACCAATGCTGCTTGCTCCTGGGGGGGGGGGGGGGGGAAGAGGGCATTTAGGGAAAATTGTGCAGTGGTCCCTACACCATGGGTCAGTGATCATGAGCTACTTGCCAGGCAGCAGCGACCACACCATAGGCTTGCGGGGGGATGAAGGGGGCACTTCAGTTGGAGCTCAGGGAGTGAGTATCTCCTTCCAACCTCAGACCAAGCCTGCGGTAAAGGAGAGAAAGTGCACGGAGAGGGCCGGGACCCAGTTACGCTCCTCTCCACCACTGGGGGTAGGAGGCTCCATTCCTGGCAAACCCTGCCTGCTTAGCTCCCTCATCAGCCCCTGCAAAGGCTCTGCCTCCTCCCTCTTTGCACAACACAGGCTTTCCCGTTGCTCTCCCAGCTCTCTATAGACTCTATTATTTTTATATCTATTTAAAACATAAAAATGTATAAATATATAGGATATTATTTATAGATATATAGACGTGATTCAATCTCTTACTCTGTGTATACGTACTGTATATGTCCATATATACAATATATATGCTGAAGCATTTGTATTATACACTGCACATACCCCTGCTTCCATGCACTCTCCTAGGGAGACTGGATTGCATAGGTATTTCTAGGGCAATACCACTTGAAGGGGTTGGGGTGGGGGAGAGCCAGATGGAAGAGGTGGGCCGTACCATTTTCCTCCCCAAAGGGCACTTTTACTCCCTCTGGCTAACACATAAAGATCACCTCAAAGGCTCCATCACATATCACAGCTCCATCTACAGCACCCAGAACAGAGAGCAGAGAGGGGTCCTCCTCCAGGCAGAAAAAGGGTCCTGCATGTAATCTTCCCTCAAGACCCAGACTGGAACCTCAGACCCAGCACCACCTCCAGGAGGCTGGTATCTGGAATGGAACTGCCCCAGGCTCACCAGCCTCCGAACACGAACACGCCTTTCTTGGTGAAGCAGGCCTGGCCTCCCTGCTGGGCTGTCCGAGGCTGGCCTGGCCGGGCCTGCCCCTAGGAGAAGGGGGGAGTGTGAGTCCCAGTGGGATTGGAGCCTTCTGCCCAAACTGGGTGATAGGACCAAGAAAAAACACGAATTCTACTTGGAAATCAACCCAGACAGTAAGCCAACACCAGCTGGCTTACTGCTCCCTGGACTAGACCCCGAGGGTGGAGGAAAAATGAAGGGGGAGGAATCTAGAAGAGAATTTCTATTTCAACCCCCCAGGCCACTTGCTGGAGCCCAGGAGGCTCCAGGGAACAGCTAAAGTGACTCTAGCCCCCCAGCCTGGGCTGGGCCAAGTCCGTATTCCACTTCCCTCTCTCCAGGATCGTTTTCAGCATTCTACTGCTTTTCCACATGGAAAACATTTCAACATTACCTTAAATAATTACAAGGTCCTTCCTCCAAATGATAGGATCAACAGAAGCAAGTCAAGGAGAAGGGCTAGGCAAGACGACTCAACGTGGTAGCAAGTAGGAGGGGTTGGGGCCATGACCCCCAACTGCCCTGGATTCAGGGTCCAGTACTGACCCCTGCTATCCAGGGATCTTGGAGCGGGAGCCTGTTCTCATTCCCAAGCGAGGATGAGGAAATCAGACTCCACCCAGTACTATGGGATGTGGCCAGCAGTCCAAAAAACAAAAACAAAAACAAAAACAAAAAAAACCCAAACAAACCAAACAAAACCCACAAAAAAACCAACTGGTGATTCAGATGCCTGAACTCATATTCAAACAGGCAGTCAAAACCTGGGGGATTCTGACACAGCAAGAGTTCTAGGCAGGACTGGGCTGTCCTCAGTTTTCATGGATGGTAACGGTTTTTTCCTCCATTGAGGAGAAGCACACCATTTTAACCACAAGGGCCTCTGGTTCCCAGGCTCGGCAATGTATGTGCTAGGCATGATTGCCCCCCCAAACCTGATCTCACTTCCCACCCCCTCCAAAAGCCAAAGAAAGTTCAATTAGGACAAGTCTCAAGCCCAGAGACACACACACTTTATTCTAAGCCAATGGTTGTCACTTCTAAGCCAGGGGCTGAGTTAAAGGGCTCTGTCTTGTCTGAAGCCACCACAGCTGGGATGTAATGGCTGCCCAGCCAACCACTGTTTATACCCATCAAAGGAAGGTTAGGTTAGCCAAGCATGTGCCTCCCTGGACTAGACCCTGAGGGTTCCATCAGCCCAAAAGTCCTTCTCAAGAAGCAGAGAGTGGGAAATGCCTGTGATAGAAATCACCGGTAGTCACATGCCCCATGCACAGGACAGAGCACTGAGCCTCCTGGGAGCATCCAGGCTGAGAAAAGCCCCTGTGTAAATTGCAGTGGTGTCACCCCGATTATCCCCTGTCCCCAGGCAAAGTGGCCTTCAGAGTGTCTGACACGGCCTAGCTGAATTCAGCAAAGGGCATGCGCACCCAGTGTTTGGGAGCCTTGCCAAAGTTCAAGACTCTCCAGAGAGCCCATCCTCTCTGTTTCAGACCCTGACTGAACAGGTGGCCGCCTGTAGCCATAGCTCATGCTTCTAGCCCAGAAGCAGGTCACTGGCTCCCAGCTCTCTCAGAAGGTACAGGTTGAAAATGGCATTGGCCCAAAGGATGGTTCCCTGTGGATAAACACTGAGCTGAGTTGGACCGTGGTCTCTCGAGAGGACACATTCGCAGCCCTGACTAGATGCTCAAGCAGATACTCTCTTCCTGGTTTGCAAATGAGTGGTTTAGGGGGACTATCCACAGAGGGTCCCAATGCAGTGGGTGGGGAGGAGTAGAGGTGGGGGAAGAGAAGGTGTAAGGCATCTGTTGGCTAGAAGAACGGATCCCAACCTACTGTTTCTGCCTCCACCGAGGCCCGCCCACCTTGCCATCCACCTCTGCCTTCGAGCCATCTTAGTCTTGTGGTGGAGAGGAAGCTGGGGAGGGAAAGGTGGAACCGTGTGCTTTGCAATAGCATCCCACTTGACCACAGTTACTGACCCTGATGGGAAGGGTGGAGTGGGGGGAGGAGACATCAGCTTAAAGTGGGGAAGTGGAGTGAGGCTGGGAATTTCAAAGCATCAGAAAGAGCTTTGGGTCTTTCCTTGCTAGTTTCTTCTCTCTCCTTGTTCAGAGGAGGGTGGGGAAGTAGTGGGGCTGGGGAAGGGGTGGGGGGCTGGATGCCACAGGCAGGGGTGCATTGATTTGTTGAAGAAGGCAGCATACGAGGCCTGGCAGTGGGACCGTCAGAGAAAACCAGGTTTTGTTTTTTGTTTTAACATGCTACATCACTGTTGGAACAAACAAACAAAAAGTTTCAAAAATAATATATAATATATATAATATATTTATGTAATGAAAAGCTATCAACTAGCAGCAATGATTCTAAAGTTATCTTAGCACCAAGACCATGGGGGTGGGGGATGGGACCTGTGGGGGGGTGAAGGGACTGGCAGGGCAGGAAGGGGGAGTGACATGTTCAGTGTTGATGACGTTTCTACTATGTTCGCTACGGTGGCATGAGGCCTCAGAGGCAAGATAAACCAGAAGGGAGGGAGCCACCACAGTTTTATAATGTCTGAGCCAAGCCGGTCGGGGACCCTGGGGCCAGAGCACATGATCCTTTGCTCACCCTCTGCCAGCTGAGAGGGGTGGCTCCCTAATGACCACAGATGGTGCGGATCTTCCTCCCTCCCCCAAATATGACCTGCGCCCATGATACGGGATCTCTGCATATCAAATATGCATAAACCAAGTGTGGAAACACGAACAGAAGTTTCTTCTAACAGCTCACGCACATTTAAAAAACAAAACAGAACTCCCTTGCGAGGTATACTGGTAGTTAAATGAATGAAAGAGCATTGATCTGACTCCTCTAGCTTAAACCACTACTTGCCCCAGGGAGTAGGCAAGTGGCTACTTCTAAAGCTTATATCGTGGTTGGTTGGTGTGTGTGTGTGTGTGTGTGTGTGTGTGTAGGCTGATGCCTTTGAGAGTCCTATCTTTCCCCTTGCTTATTCCTTTCTTCTAGGACATCTCTACCCTGTTCAAAAATGGAAGTGTTCACAGGCATAGATGCATCACCCAGGTTCCCACTACCTTCCTGCCAGGGGGTAGGGCTGGTTATCAGCCTGTTGCAGAAAAAGGACTAAATCTCTAGAGACTCTCATTTGCATAATCCAGGGCACAACTTGCATTGACATGTCCTGCCACGGAACTCTGGCAGGCATTTCTTGATTATTAAAGGAAAAAAATACCCCTCCCCCCATTATATGATTATAAAGATAGAGTATAAATAATTTATGTAAATTGAATACATATTTTTCATTTTACTTATTTTTAGCCAATAAATCGCTGCCCTTTGGGGTCTGGATTTCTCGGCTCTTCATTTCTCCAGCAGCCCTGGATCTGAATGGAATCAGATTATTTTATCCCACTCTATTTAAAAACAGGAATGCAAAGCGGGCATCCCCTCTTCCTTCCCCAGGATTTCAAGCTCGGTTGTCAGGCAATTTTGCCTTCAGTATTACAGGTAATAAGGATCCAGGGGGTCTGGAAGGAGGGAATGAAAAACCCAGGGACGGGATTGGCGACAGAGGTGGGGAGTAGTGGGTGTCACAGTTTGACCAACGCATGTTTCTAAGACAGTGAAGAAAAGAGTAAAAATCTCTCCAGCTGAAGTCAGGTGGGAGAGAAAGTCAAAACACCTGATCCAGATACACAACCCGCCCTTATCCCAAATCAGAGATCGGACTCAGCCGGACCAGCATGTCAACACAGAGGCTGAGAAACCCCATCATAAAACCAAACAAGAAAAGGCAAGAACATAAACCCCAACCCAAGCCCCTCACCCACCCAGACAAGAACATGGACGACACGAGTTACCTAATGGTGATGACAGAGACCCGTCATTTTAGCTTATGTTGTTGGCTGGCCGGTAGGTGGGAACACGTGTGGCCCCAGCACATGCGTCTGTGAGTGAAAATGAGTTGCCACGGATGTTGCAGCTGCCAAATGTTGTAGACAAGAGTCAGTTTCTGACATTATTCCTTTCTGAAAGTTCCCAGTAGCTTCTGGTGCATGTGTCACCTTGGTTTTTAAAAATTTTTCAGTGTGGGTTTTTAATATATATAATATAATATATATTTATATAATATATCAAAGCTTGTGAGTATAGATTAAAAAAATATTCAACAGCTTAGTGACCTCTGTGACACCGGTTCCCTAAATGTCCGGGTAAAACTCTGCTCCGTGGTCCACGGTCTGCAGCACCGGCTTCTGTTCCAGCGCAGACATGCGGCTGAGGACCTCGGCGGACAGAGAGTAGGTGTTGCCAGACTTCTCCTCAAACCAGCTGTCCAGGGCTCGCTTGGCGTCAAAGTTGGCAATGGGCGGGCCGTTGACTGCGATGGTCAACAGGTCGCTGAGCTGCTCCAGGGTCAGGCGGGAGCGGTGGTTCTTGCGAACTCGCTGCAGGGCATTTCGGCCTTTCTCGCAGCAAGCGGTGGAAGTGGGGAGGACCTTGAGGACCTGGATGATCTTGTTCAAGAGCGGAAACCTCTGTCTGTATTTGCAGATGTGGCCGATCAGGTCCTTGAAGCCGTTTTTGGTGTAGTAATCAGCCTTGAGTTCTCGCCACTCCATCAACAGACTCCCCCGGGGGTCCAGCCCTTCCCGACAGATGTCTCGGGAAAAGGTCGGGATAGCCTCCAGGTGATCAAATATCTGAATCATATCCTCCTTGCCATAGCTCACGAGCTCCTCGCTGTTCCTGGGCCAGGCGGCGAGGTCGAACACCTGGCAGGCCTTCACAAAGATCCGGCTGCGCGAGTCGAATCTCTGAGCCAGGATCACTTGGGTCTTCTGGCAGATCTTCTCCCTGATGGACTGGAACTTGGCTTCAGCCACCCTGAGGTTCTTCATGGCGATCCCATTGAAACTCTCCCGGAAATTCTCCTCGAACTCCTGCAGGTATTCCCCGGGGCAGTCGGCCAGTCGGCTGATCTCCTGGATGGCCTCCTCGATCTTGTCATCCACCTGAGACACCAGGAGGTACTGGCCCTGAAAGACGTAGGCCAGGCGTGAGAGCACAGCGATCACGTCCAGGAGGAAGTAGATGAGCTTCATGGACTGGTAGTCCATGAGGAACTGCAGCAGGGCCAGCGCAATGGCCGAGGCGTCCGCCCGCTGGGTCTGGCTGCTGACGTCCTTGAGGTGGGCCACCACCTCCAGGTAGTCCTTGATGAGGGCGTTGAGGACATTCTGCTCGCCGATGATCCACCTCACGGCCCGGATGTCGCCCAGGAACTCAGTCTCCTCACAGAGGGTAGAGGCCGTGCACCGCAGCTCGCACATGAGTCGCGGCGAGTACCGGTAGAAACTCAGCAGCTGCTTCAGGTTGTTCTCCAGCTCCTCCAGACAGGGGAGCTCCTTCCCACTGATGGCATCCAGGATTTCTAGGTGGGGCCGGTGCACCATGAAGGGCAGGCACAGCAGCCAGGGCAGCGTCTTGCGGATCGTCATGAACATGCTGGCACGCAGGCTGGCTGTGATGTTGGCCCCGTCTATGCCCAAGCCAACGGTTGGCTTCTCATCCTGCAACCGGATACCCAAGGCAGAAAAGGCTCGATCAAGCGCCTGGAGATAGCTCTCTGTGCTGGAGAACCCCAGTTCCTGCAGGGACAGGAACTCTGTGGCCGGGGGCCCGTCGCTGCTGGTGTATTGGACGTAGACAGCCACCGTGTCGGCCAGCAGGTCATCGCTCTGCCCATCCAGGATGATGCTGAGGCAAGGTGACTGGCGGATGCGCTCCACCAGGTCTTCCCGCAGTGCCCGGGCGATGTGATGGATGAGGATCTGACAGTCTCCCTCATTCATGTACTGGTCCACCACCTTGAGCTCGCACTTCCTCAGCAGCTCAGCCAGGGGCCGGAAGTCCAGGTAGGGCCTGCCCTCGAGAGCCAGGTGGTAGGCGGTGTTGAAGAGCAGGGTCATGTTGCGGCACATCTCCTCCGTCTTCTCGGGGTGCATGCGGAGCTTGTACAGCTGCAGGCACTTCTTGTGCAGGTTGCTCTGGCTGTGCAGTTTGATGGTGTGGATCTTGAACTGCTTGGAGCCGATGATGAAGGCCGAGGTGCGGGAGGACTGCACCGTGTACTGGCGGCAGACGTGGCACCACATCTCGTTGAGGGTTGGGGAGTACCGCAGGAACCAGAACTTCTTCAGCCACTCCTGCTTAAAGCGCCGGATTCGGCGCCCGGTGGCAGACGACATCTTGGAGGGCTCATCGGCGGCAGTCATCATATCGTTGGAGACCGATTCATCTGCCGAATCGACCTCCTGGTCATCATCCTCCATGATGGCGGGGCCGGAGACCATGCTCTCGGAGGCTGGAAGACAAATGGGAAAGAAACCTTTACACGTGTGGGGGAAAACATAGACGTTTCTAAAATGAACAGGAAGCACTGCCCAAAAGGAAGGTGCCACACCATGTGAAACATAAGCCAATTCCTACGAGCTGAAGCCCAGCCAGAATGTATTTAGCAGCACTCTGGCTATCCATGTGTGGCTTTCCCTCTTTGTGGATTATCCGCAGTGGTCACCACGCTCCAGGCTTCCTGCCCTCACCCTCCACTAGTGGGCACTCAAGGAACTTCCATGTTTGGTATCAACTGACCAGCAGGACCAGAGGAAGAAGCATATCAAACACCCTTAAGTCAGAGAGCGAGGACATGGGGCTCCTTTGTCCCACCACTAAGGTGGTCAGGGGTGGCGTGCTACCCTCAAATGGAGGGCTTTGGCATGGCCCCCAGTTATTTCAGGACCGGAGCACAGATGCATGCTTTGAATATCTGAAGCACCTCATTCTGAGCTAAGAGATGTGGTTCAAATAGAAAGTGCTGTGTCAATACTCTAAGCTGCAGATGTGTACTGAAAACCCTCCTTGTCAACCAGCTCCAAGACATCCAGGCAGCCACAGAGAAGGGCAGGAGCATGCAGCTGAACGCCCGGGACCCAGGTCCTTCCAAGACCCCAGGCAGGGAGATGGGACCATGTGGCAGAGCAGCAAGTCGGGAAGAGAAGAATGAGGTGAGCTCCTGGGCTGAGGTCGGGAGAGCCAGGAGCTCTCCCAGACAGGACTGGGCAGAGAGAAAGACTGGGTTTAGAAGTTGGGCTGTGGGGGTCAGACACCACCAGGACCACCAGAGAAAGGCAACGGTTCAAGAACACAGCACACACCCCTTCTGCAGCGGAATGTCCTTTATTGACGAGAATACAGGGCCAGACATGGAACACCCACAGGAGCTGCAAAGTGACCTGTCAGAGGGGGGCACCTGAGGGCGCGGGCTGTGGCCAGAGCTCACCTCCGAGTCACACGCCTCAGGTTTCCCGGAAGGTGGCTCCCGCAGAGCACCTGCCACCCTCATACTGCCCACCGTGTGCTCTTCCCTCCGACACCATCTCACCCACACCGACTTACCTGCAGGGTCTGAGAACTCTGGGAGCTCCAGTACCTGTGCTGGCAATACGGGGGGCTCAGGAAGCTTCCCAGACTTAAGCATGTCTAGTTCTGCCTGGAGTTCCCGAACCTTCTTCTTTAGGCGAATACAATTAGGACAAAAGGAGGTGGTGGGTAGCTCATGCGGGTCGGACGCAAGGGAGGCCTCAGCAGGACTGTCGGCCTTGAATGACGAAGGCTCCTCTTCTTCATCATCCAATGGGCCTGGCTCCGTGGAAGCCCCTTGGGGGGTTTTCCAGTCCCCCTCCCCCTGGGTCCGGCTGACATTCTGCACACCACGCGACATGGTCATTGCACACTGACTGTAGGCATCGCCCTGGTATTTGGGGACTTTCCTGATGACCAGCGAGGTGCTCAGGGCCAGCTGGCGGCCTTCCACTTTTGCAGTTTCCAGTGAGGCCTCCAACACATCCTTGAAAATGAGGTCAATTTTCTTCTTCTTGGACTGGGGGTGCACGTCCCCCTCGTCAAAACCACGCTTGTAGGAACTTTTGCCCTGTTTCAACACAGGAAGGTGAATGGGACCCCGCAGGTCCTCTAGGTCATCCAGAGCCTGCTCAGACTTCTCCCTCTGTAACCGCTTCTCTCCTAGGAAGGAAAACCAGGGTGTGAGGAAGTGGGGAAAAGCCCCAAGTGGAGAAACAGGCAGAAAACAATGCAGGCCTTCAGTTAGGAAGTCGTTTGACACATCCCTCTGGGTCTGGCCTCGTGGGGGCAGGTGTGACAAAAAGGGAGAGGCGATGGCTCAGTAGATCATGGGATCATAGGACCCAAAAAAGCAGAGAAGTCTTTAAAGAGACAGTTTCAATGGAGTCTTATGTAGAAAAATGCTATGGCGGGAGGTAGTTGGAAGGTACTTGCCTCCTGCTCGGTCAAATGAATGGGTGGTGACATTCCTGAGAGCTAAGTGAGGATGGATTCCCCACCCCTCCAGGCGTCTGGTCCAGTCCTAGCAATTAGAAGACGGCTGCTTCGACTTGGTAAAAGGTACACACGAAATACCAGAGTCCCACTCCTTCCTCTTCCCTCACACTCTGAAGTCAGCCCACTTAGGGCAAAGTCCGCCTAGAGCAACTGTCCTTTCCATTTCTCCCAGTAATCGGCAATCTAGCAGTATGTGAGAAAGCCTGCTGGCTGAGGCAGGAAGGCAATGCAAGAGGGGCCACCTTCAGTGGCTGCAGCTCCAAGCTGACAGCCTCCAGCAAGGTAAAGAACAACATGGCCACACTGACTCAAAGCATCCTCAAAATATAGCTGTTTCCTTCCCTGGCAATACAAACAATGCTTTCTTTTCTCTTTCTTCCTATCATGTAAATGACTTAACAAATCCTTGGTGAACTCCCCAGCAATGAATTATTTTAGCCAGATTTTCACAATGGCTGGCACAGTTCCATAAACTGCTACAGAAGTACGAATGCTGCCTGTGGGGGGACAGTGCTAAGTGGGGAATCCTCAGAAGATCCTGACGGCAGCCTGTGGAGCTAGGAAATCCTAAAGGCTTCCTAGATCAGGGGCGGGCCCTGGGAGATGTGACTGAGCAAAGACTTAACCTGCTCATATGTTGTAATTCGGCTGCTGAGAGCTGCATTTTCGAAAGACCTCGGAGGGAAGGCCAAAGGATCTCTGTGCAAACCAGAGCCACGCTGTGACCAAGCCTCGGCTTCCCACAGCGGGCATGGGGTGCTGTGCCCAGGCCCGCGTGTGACTCCAGATTTTCTACAGGTAACAGCACAAAAGCAAGTAACCTATTCAGGAAGCTCCTTTTCTGTCCTCATGTAAATGCTTAGGGCATGATCTCACGTCCAAGGCTTCTGATTCTCAGGCGCTCCCCACAGCCTGCATTTCTATAACAGCTGGGGGACAGAAAGTGTGAAGATGAAGAGAAGTTTTTAAAAATGCAATATATTTGTGCAGATTATATGTGACACTTGCTCATTCAGAATCTCTAAACGACAAGGCCACCCTTCCTGTTTCTCGTGGACGGATCAGGCAGCAAACAGCTGAGGACGCCTGGAGGTCAAGACTACCCATCACCAGGGATTCCTCATGCTACTCTGCTCAGAGACAAGGTCATTCAAATGTGCTAAGATGAGCAGGAGGCCTCTTTGGACTAAAGGCTTCTATGGGTCAAAAAAGACCTTTAAGCGTCATGAAATTGATTCTAACACCACCATAAAACATGGGAAAAACACCATGACTCAAATCAATGACTCAAAGTCGATCAAACAACATGAATTCTTTAAATACATACATTAGATGCTCCTATTCTTAAAAGATAACCACAAAGAAAGCATTTCTACGTGCTTCAGGAAGCAGTTCTTGGCACCAACTAATGTCCCTATTTGATAAGGACAAATAATTCATGCTCTGGCCTTTATCAGGGCTCCAGCCTCCAATTACAAAGAGGCCTCCTTCCAAGTAAGACCTTAAGGGATTGAGCATGGGGATCCCCCTTCCAGAGCAGGACTTGCATATAGATCTAAGACACCGCTACCCATTTCCAGTGTCTGCCAACGCTACAGGTTAGAGAGACACAACATTAAAGGCCACTGACATCCACAACTGCTCACAAGAACTTCAGGACCTACCTCCTGCCTTGGCCCTGCCCCACCGTGGCTTTCAGTTTCCTTCCTGTTTCCTACTTCTTGGCCTGGCCAGGAATAGACATTCCCTCCTCCTGTATCTTCACATGTCTAGGTGCAGCTCATGTCCAGTCTGCCTGCCAGGTTCCTTGAACCACCCCTGAAAGCTCACTCCCTTCTCTGAGCATTCCCCTGGGGTCTCGGGGCTCTCTGAGGATGATGCAGCTTGAAGTGCTTTGGAGAAGACCCTGGGGGAAAGGGACATGACAAATCCAGAAGAATTCAAAAAGATTATGGCCAGAGGATGGAACCTGTGTCCTCAGACATGACTTCTCTTGATTTCCTCCTCTTTGGTGGCATGATTCTTCTGGAGACTTCTTGTTGTCTTCCTTCGTTTCTTCTTTTATCCATTCAACAAAGATTGAGCACCTACTATGCATCAGATGCTTTTACACGAGGCACCTCCAGAGGTCAAATGGAAACCATGGCGATCTCATTGTGGAAAAATGCCTTACCAGCTGAAATCAGCATGTGCCCAACCCCTGGATCCGAAGAAGACAAGAGATGAGTATGTCTATTGGGTCTCTTCTCACTCCCATCCAATCACCAGATACCTTTTACCAAGTCAGGCAGCCGCTGGGCACTCAATGTCCACAGTCTGCTTTGCTGTGTTTTGTTTTTAAAGGTAGCTTAATTTCAGTGGGCCACTCCTACCCCCTCTCATCTTCTCTACTCATGTTCCAAATGGAGCTTTATTTCCAAAAAGTAGGTTGGTCAGGGGGGTGGGGGATAACTAGTTTTGCCTGGCAGTTCATATAGCATCATAGGTTAGGGTTCAGACCCTCGACTCTAACAGATAGAGTTAGAAACCCAGCTCTGTCCTTCCTAGCCATAGGACCCTGGGTGAGTCGCTATATTTATTTGATGCTCAGTTTTGCAATTTGTAAGATGGAGATACTAATCCACATGAATCATTAGTTTTTAAAAGTCTCTAACTGAGGGCTTACAATGGTCAAGGTAGACATTGTTCTAAATGTGTTCTAACCAACTAATTCTCTCAGTACAGGTTCAGGTAGGTGCTCCTGTTGTCCTGATTTCATGGGACATGATGGAACACATGCTTAGCACATATCAAGTCCTTAATAAATGTTACGTATTACTGCAGCAGTTGCAGTTTATAACATCTTTCCATCACTTTGAGGGGGAAATAGGATTGCTTTTGATTAAATGTATGTGCTTGGCTGTGGAGACTTGCCTCTCTCCATGATACTCTGAAATTTATAATAAGACATTCACATGTAATAGGGTTTCCGAGGCAGTTTCTCATGGAGGATACGTGGTACCCACAACCCTGCCCAGAGCTGCTGCTCAGACCTGGACCACCTGTTTGTCCTCTGGGTCTCCCCATTGCTGTATTTCCCATCGGTTTTCTTAGGACGCTTCTAGAGAAGCATTCCTGGCCTCCCATGGGGCTTGGTGGCACGGGCATGGCCCTCACCTAGAGGGTGGGCACTCACCTCTGGTCAGATTGCGATGGATGGTTTCCTGGGACATGCTGTGCAGGCGCTTCATATAGTCCTCACTGTACCAGACCCGCAGCCACTCCCCGGGCCGGATGTCCCGGCAGGCCCGGAAGTAGATGTGCTCGCTGTGCTGAAACGCCAGCAGGTTCTGCTCCCTCTCCTCCCTGGAGATGACCACGTACCTGGGGGTGAGGAGGACAGGTGAGAATGCATGAGCCTCTCCTTGTGAGTGCCTGCTGGTGTTGGGCAGTGACAATGGTTAAAAGTCCACCAACATGTAGACTTACGCAAAAGCCTACAGGGCAGCTGCCCTCCCGAGGAAAGGCAGGCCAGCTAGAGTCCATCCCTTGTCTCCATTTCACTGTTTTATGTGACCTTGAGCAAGTCTCTGAAACTTTAAAATCTCTGTTTTCTGGACTGGACATGACACCTACCCTGCCTTCATCCCAGGTTCTTCTAAATATAAGATCCAACACCGGGTAAAAAGGTGATTGAAAAACTGACAGATCACCTACTTTTCACTAACTTTTAACCACAGGGGTCCCCCAGAGTGGGTCCTTGGACAGTTTTCCGTATTTCCCAAAATCTAGCAGAAATAACTCATGAGACAAGGGTGCCCAAGAGATCAATTAATAAATGCTAAAGATCAAAATCGTTAAAATTAGGGGGGAAGGGGGGTCCAGTGGGGACAGAAGAGGAAGGTAAGGACAGGCTAGCAACCACTGGCTAACTGAAGTTATTTTAAGGTAAGGAAACTGAGGCTCAGAGAGGCTAAGTGACTTGCCTAAGGTTGAACAGCTAATAAATGGGAGATGGAGCTGTGAGGTCTATTCCCAGGAGAACTCATGGCTCCAATGTGGGCAGGTAAAGCACCCAGTCAGCAAGCCCAGGTAACCTTTAAAGCTCTGCTGAACCCTCAGAATCTATGGTCCTCACCCATCCTCCCTGAAATGACAGTCCTAACAGCCAACCTGCGACCTCACTCACCTCCAGAAGGTGAGATGACACATCTGCAGAGAGGTGGACATGTACAGACCAAAAGGGCAAGAGGAAATTATTTGGAGTTTGAGGGTTCTGGGTTACACCAGCATCTAGGAAATTTGTAGTCAAAAATAAATGTTTTTCCCTTAGGTTATGATTTGTCTCAAAAGCCAGGGAAGAAACCAAAGTCTGTCTAACTGACATGATGCTAAGAATTACATTTGGGGCAATCCAGGAAACAATAATTCACAGAAAAATACAAATGGAAAACGAACGCATGAAAAATATTCAGCATCAGTAGTAAGAAATGCAAAGTAGCACATTGTCTCATTGGCACAGATTTTTGTTTCATTAATCGTCACCCAAGGATATTCTTCCATTTCTTTTAGAGTTGAAGGGACAGAGGAGAGGGAGAGAGAGAGGGAGAGGGGAAGGGAGAGGGAGAGGGACAGGGACAGGGACATTAATGTGAGAGAGACACATGGATTGGTTGACTCCCGCACGCACCCTGACTGGGGCCGGGGAATGAACCTGCAACTCAGGTACATGCCCTTTGACTGGGACCCTTTGGTGCACAGGCCAACGCTCCAACCACTAGCAACGCTGTCCAGGGCAGCACACATTTTTTTTTTTCCTTAATGATAATATCTGTATTGGTAAAGGTGGCAAGAAAAGTGTCTCTATACTGATTGTGGTGAATAAACTGGCACAACCCTTTGGGAAACAACTGACAATATGGACTCAACAAGAATTTGTACCCCCATGTTCACAACAGCGCTATTCACAATAGTCAAAAGGTGGAAGCAGCCCAGGTGTCCATTAACGGATGAATTAGATTAAAAAGTGTGTTATATACACACATGAAATATTATTCAGCCATAAAAAGGAAGGAGATTCTGACATATGCTACATGAGTGAACCTTAATGGCACACGCTAAGTCAGCGGTTCTCAACCTGTGGGTCGCGACCCCTTTGGAGGTCGAATGACCCTTTCACAGGGGTCGCCTAAGACCATCAGAAAACACATATATAATTACATATTGTTTTTGTGATTAATCACTATGCTTTAATTATGTTCAATTTATAACAATGAAATTGGGGGTCACCACAACATGAGGAACTGTATTAAAGGGTCGCGGCATTAGGAAGGTTGAGAACCACTGTGCTAAGTGAAATAAGCTGGTCTCAAAACAGCAAATACTGTATGATTCCGTTCATATGAATGGTCAAATTCACAGAGGCAGAAAGTAGAATGATGGTTGCTGGGAGGAAGGGAGCAGAGGCTTGGGGGTAGGTATAGGGGCGCAGTGTTGAATGGGTATAAAGTTTCTGCCTGGGAAGATGAAAAGAGCTCTGGAGATGGATGGTGGTGATGGTTGCACAATAATGGGAATGTGCTTAATGCCAATGAACTGTACACTTATGTGTATTTCGTCAAAATTCTTGAAAAGTTAAAAAACAAGAACAGTAACATGCAGACCAAATATGCAAACTGCATTCCACCACGCTGTCTGTGTATTGTTTATTATAGTGCAAAAGCAAAAACATCCAAATGTCTAATACTAGAGAAATGACTTAATAAACCATGGTGTATTCATATAATGGAATGTTACTCATCTGGAGAGAAATGTTTTCGAAGGGTCTTTTATGACACGGGAAATGGTCCTCATACAACGGAGAGTGAGCAATAAGTAGGTCTGAAAGCTATTTACTCGATGGTTCCAGCATGCTTTGAAAACAAGCCCCAGTAAACCCGAAGGAAATATACCAAAGTTTTAAGGGTGATTCTCCATTATAGGTGGATCTACTTCTTTGTAATTTTCTGTACTTCCTGAGTCTTCCTTAGTAAGCTATTACTACTGTTACTCCCACTCCCACCCCCTAAAAACAGAGATGATGTACAAGAATGCCGATGCCAGTGTGGGTGGCAGGGGTGGCAGTTGTGGCGCCAGCAGCATTGCGCATCTACATTCACGATGTCCGGGCATAGCACCCTTTGAGCCCATCCAGCCCCTTCCCATCTGGACAGTCCCCTGAGCAGTCTGCTCTGCTCTGCTCTGCTCGGCCCTGGAGCACGCCGTGACCTGATGAGGGGGGCCACTCAGGTCCAGGAACCAACCCACTGTGGCAACAGGATGTCACACAGACCCCAGGGGAGCGGGGAAGAGGACACCAGCTTTGGCTGCCTCGCCCATTTGAGAGAAGCGAGTCAGAGCTCCACCTGGAGCGTGCAGGATTTATGGCGCTTAGATCCCAGAACTTGCTTTTGTCTAGGATCTTAGCCTTAACGCATCTGTGTTCTCATCAACATCCATTCAGGGAACGTGGGTCTCCCTGAACTGTGGAGACAACACCATGACCTCCGTGACACCCAGCCATGTCATTATTAACAAAGATCTCAGGGAAAAGAGAAATCTCTACAGATTCATCCTTCCCAGTCTCAACTCTCCAATTGCAGGAGTCTACTTTTCTCCATATCTGAGATGTCTTCTGAGTATGCAAAATATTTCCCAGTCCCCAACTTAACATGAGTCTTGAATTTGACATCAAAAATTAATCAGCCTTGCGGTTAGCATGGAACAGAACTGAAGTAGACTCAAATTTCCTCCTCCCAGAAAGAGAAGGCAAACCATTCATTCACCTTTTTCCTCACAGGAATCACTTGCATCACAGAGCACAAGGAAAGAATAGTCTCTTTTTTCAGTTTCTAAATAGCCATCAAGCTCTAAAGACTGGAATTATTTTTCCCTGCACCCAACTTTAAGAGAAAAAGAGATGAAGACCACCTAAGTTTCAGGGATTTCTTCTAAAGAACAACTTCTGAAGTCAGAACACTTAGAAAAATTCAAGTCAATTTCTCTTTCCACCTCCTGGTGTTCTCCTACCCAACAAGAAATCAATATTTAGGAAGAGAACCCCAAATCTTTGTATCCATCACAATGTGGCTTCAAAGACAGATCAGAATTTGTTCAGCATGTGGTTGCATTTGGCTGTTTTGAAACTCAGCATTTGAAATATGATATATATACTTGAGGCCCGATGCACGAAATTCGTCCAAGGGGCTTGGCCCTTGCAGCCCCTCACAGCCCCGGCTTCATCCGGAAGGTCATCCGGACGGTCGTTCTGCTGTTCAGCCTAATTAGCATATAAGCTCTTTATTATATAGGATAACAACTCTTAGTGAATCATAACAACTCATTCCCCTGAGATGTTTATGCTACGTGATTTCTGAGGTCAAGCTAAGTGGAGCCAGCTAAGTCTCAACATCAATCACTGTACCTCAATCAGGTCTCACCCTTGTATTTATTTCACAGTAACACCCAATGGCTTGATCCACTCCCAGAACCCTCCTGTCCCCACACGACAACCCCTTTATGAAGAACCTTGCCCGTCCCATTCCATGGCCACAGGTGAGCGAGAGCCCTCCAGGGAGTGAAAATCTATTTGTTGAGTCTCCAGGTCACCACCTTATTGGAAAGAAGGCACAGAGTATGTCAGGAGGGGGTGGGAAATGCCTAACAGACTGCTCTGCAGATGTCAGTGCTCATTTGATAGCTTTCCAATCAAAGACAACCAATTGGGGACCTTAGAAGCAATCGAAGGGGTGGGTGGTATGGGGGGGGGGGGGCGGTGTTCCGGACTAAACCTTTCATGATGAGAATGGATTATTTGTATCCCAACCTCCTCGCTGACTTTGGGTACAGGATAGATGGGCACTAAGTCCACACTTCTCAGACCTCACTCGCTGTGTTTTATCAAGGGCACTAAATTTTCTAGCTGGGTCAGGAAACTACTAGTTCTAACTCAAGAGAGAAAATAACCCACAGGGCACCCACTGTGTTGGAAGGGACAGGCGAGGGCCAGGCTCAGACACTCCTGCTCAGTGGGTATGTCTCCAATGGCGAGGAAGCTGCACTGGTCACGGAGGCAGGAATGGGAAAAGAATAACCAAGGAGAGGTCGGTCTATGTGTGCTCCTACATGCACTTAGGTCTCTGGGCTGGGAGGGTCTTTGGATCACACATCCACCTACCAGATGGTCACTCGGCCTCTGACAAAACACCACCCAGCCAGCCCTTGGCATGGCTGGAAGCCTTGGACTCTTAGAAGCTGAAATTGACTGCCCACTCATTTCCATTTCACTTCCCTGTTTTGACAGGCTAGTCCCATAGTCCCCTCTGAAGCCAAGAAAAAGAAACTGG